TATTTTTTTCTTAGTTTAGAAGTTAAAGCTACTATAGCAAATATGGAAACCATTTCTTCATGTATTAACGTTCTAACTATATTAGGGTGACCATATTTCCATTCCAAAAAAAGAGGACAGGAGATCTGTACCTACTGATGACGTCACACTAGGGCTGTACGATATGGCCTAAAATCAATATCACCATATACTGAGGACTTCACCTCGATAACGATATAGACGACAACCACACGTAGGCACAGAATCAAACGTTGTCCACTAGATGGGGCTGTCACATGTTTTATGTTTGGTCATATTTTTACGTGACTCAAGGTGGTGCACCTTCTTAAAGAGCAAGTCACCCCCAAATAAACTTTTTTTTGCTGATAAACTAAATAAACGAGTGTCTAATCGTGCTGCAGACACGTGTCGTCAATAATTTGGCACTTCAGTGCATCTTAGTTAAAATTTAAATATTCTTGTCAGGTAAAAACTCTGCACTGTATTTTAATTTAAATCTGTCACCGCTATTGGCTAAGAGGTATGCTATGATGTAAACTGGTACATTATGATGTCACAATGCTGTCGTGAGCCTGTGTGTGTGTGTATTTGTTAGCAGCTCCGGCCTCTCGGTCTGCCAGGCAACATTTGTTGCATTTTTCAAACAGGAAGTGGGAGTGGAGTGAGAATCTGGTAGGGGGTGACTTGCTCTTTAAAAGGACATGAACGTTGCCAACCTACACACATCTTTTCATTTTTTATTATCAAATTTATTGACATGGGAAAAATTATCTCTATAATGGGCCATTCCCATCTGTACCGGGCCGGGTAGCGTAGGTTGTTTACATATCTGGGTGGCCTGGTATTTTTCCGGGCCAACCAAGGCTCATTCTCAGCCCTCTTCTCGAGGGGGTCTGCTTCAGGCCGACCAGGGCCAACACACCCACTGCTGACAGCAAATTCACACCTTCCATTAGAGCAGGCCTCTGATTGGTGGGTAGAACCAGCCCACATGGGCTTAAGGCAAGGATGTGTGGAATCAACCGGGCCAGGCTGGGGCCGACTGGGGCTACCCGGCCCGGGCCGACCCGGTACAGATGGGAATGGCCCATAAGAGTCACAAATTTCGATGACGATAAATTTTCAATTTATTGCCCAGCTCTACGTCACACTATGGCAAAACCACACACACTACGTTGGGACCCATAGTGTTAGAGCTAAATTAATATCAGATTCTGCCAACATCAGGGCTCTAGTTTGTCCTGGACTCCATGGAAACTTTCAGAGAATCCACAGATAGTGTCTTTCAGATGGTTTTGTTACTGACATATTTGTGTGAGTTTAGAAAAGAAGCAGGTGAGACGGCGTGTCCGACAATTTTGTTTTTCGTCTGACAATATTAGAACATGTCATTCATGTCTGAGGTGCTTTTACAAACACTGTATAACTAATATTCCTGGACAGGGTAGGAATTACACAGAGGCTTCTGGGGGGACCCAGTGATGGGGGGTGTTCTGTTTAGCCTTGGCTCCCAAAATGCCTTGAAACGGCCCTGGGTGTGACCGAGTGTTGAAGGTGATCTGAACTGTATCGAATGTATAAATATTACATGTTTATTACTTAGTGTTTTATAAAACATGTAGTGGAGATAAATCTACCTACAGTTGACTTTTCAACACTTAGTTTTGTTTTCTAGTTTCTATATAACTATTTTCCTGTCCTGTCTGTCTCTCGTCTTCCTGCATCTCCTCTAAACTCTCCAGAAAAACTGCTGCCTGGATTCTTACTTTTTCACCTCATCAGTTACTTTTGAGCAGATCAAAGGGATCTCCTGACCGCAAAGCGGAGTGCGCGTTTCGATGCTGCGTCAGTGAGGTGAAATCACCGCAGCACACGATGAGCGGAGCGCGTCAGGAACGATTAAAAGACAGAGTACTGTCACTGTCACTTCCTGTCATTTTCTGCAGAGAACGTAACATGTCAGGATCCAGAAGAGAGGGAGACTGAGGCTGAAGGCAGTTAACGGCTTTCATGAGATCAAGATTGCTTTTGGAGAATCTTGTCTCCATCTCTACTACGACTATGTCCAAAATGTTTAAGAGCTCTCTTCAGAGCCTGCAGGAGTCGTGGAGTCTTCTGCGTGGCCCACAGTGGACATTACAACACCACCTGTTAGCAGTGAGCTTGTTTTTTTTTTGTCTTTAGCAGCTGGTGCAGGTGTTTCCTCATCTCTCATCTGCCTCAAAGCCTGCAGAGATGCACTGACTACCTCTGAAGCACAGCACAGGCCAACAGAGTGAGACTGCAGCACAGAATTAGCAGACTTCAAGGAACCCAGAACTTTTAGGAGGAATTTTCCTATTTCAAAGAAATTGTGCCTCCTTAACATCATCAGCAGTCCTGATGCCTCCGTACAGATATCAGCAGCAGCAGCTCTGTCCTCTGTAACCTCTGACAGGATACTCATGACAGCATCCTGATTCTCCACAAGGCGCTTGGTCACATCATGGTGGCTTGTCCACCTGATCTCCAACAGTCGTTTCAGAGAGGGAACGTCGTAGTTCTGTGAAACATAATGACGGTGGAAAATGAGTGTAGAGATCCTGAAAGATCAAAAGAGGTTTTTGCACATGGCTCTGTCTGCATTGCATGGACCACTGCCAAGTGCAGCTGGTGGTTGTAGCAGTGGATGTAGGGAACATCCTACCCTACCTTCTTCTGCAGTAAGGCCTGAACCCCACCCCTGATCCCACTCATGACAGAAGCTCCATCATAGCACTGACTGATCATTTCAGCTGCACCATAGCCTGAGTCAGAGAGATGCTCAAGGGTTTTGGTGGTAATAAATTCAGCATTTAACTGACTGAGGTCAAGCAGACCGATCAGGTGTTCTTCTGGAATGCCGTTACAGACAAATCTAACCATGACTGAATGATTCTCCATGTTACGCCACCAGCCTGGCCACTTTGGATGAAGGAGCCAGGATCACCCAGACCTGGGGATCAGCCTGACTCCGCCCCTCCTCCTCCTCTCCTCCAGGCTGCTGAGGAGCACAGCTGAGATGAATCTCTGACGACCCACACCTGGGATAAAGAGGCCGTGCCTTCAGCACTCTAGGGGTTCTGCTGTCCTCCAGGCCTTACGCTTTGTTTTAAACCCCTTTTGTATGTTTTAGAAGATCCATGTGATCTTTGTGGTCTATGTATTGATTTTAAGGTTAACATCGTAGTTTACCGACTTTGGGATTTTAAAACACTCAGTGTGTTCGTAGTGCGTCGTTTTCATCATCAACTTGTGTTTTCTATGACACCTTCTGTTTTGGTAGAACTTTGAACGAAGTTGGTGTTTAAATGTTGATAAGTGGTCCTTTAAATGTGAACCTTTTAGTATTGATGTTTGTTAGGCAGTATTTTAATAATGCTCTCCATCTGCTTGCTCGCTTGTTTTTAAAACCTTTTATGGTAATTAAACCCATTTTAAATCCACTGTCACATTTCTTGTTACCCCCTCCTTCACATGTTAACAACACATGTCGGGGACGTAACACTCCACATCACATCTGTCCCTAGTTCCATCGCTTTTAATGCAAAACCCAGCATAATCTGCTTAGTCAAAATTATCTTTGATATTTTTTAATACCACATTTTGCCAGTGTTTCATTAATTTCATTTTGAATGTTGTGAGATGTGTGTTTAGCATTTTCTGGCATGTGTTTGTTTATTTCGTTAAATTTGGAGTCTTTGGCCAGCGTGTAGTCGACCATTTTTAAGAAGAGTCCTGCAGAGAAGCCATCACCACTGGAGTTTTCCACACTAGTTCATTTACTGCTAGGAACTGAACTACTTCTCCAGTAGTTTTTACGTAGTATCTGTTTTTTTCGAGTTGAGAAGCAGCGGCCGACGAGCGGCTTCTGCCGCTAGTGCCGTAGCACTGTTGCTAGGTTTAGAAACCTGCGCATGTCGACTCGGTTCACTTCAAAAACAAAAGAAAGAAGAGAACGAGGCAAACTAAGAGAAAGTGTAACCTGATTATTCCAGTGACCGACAGCAGAAGAAAACTTCAACCAGTGGCTGAGCTCAGATAACAACGGTGCATCTCTGTGTTCTGCTGCTGACTGTCTGGGAGTGTGTGATAGTGATGTGTCGGTCACGAAAGAACCGGCTCTAAGAGCCAGTTCTTTGAAGTGAACGACGGGAGCCGGCTCGTCATTGGGAGCCGTCCCCTCCCCTCCCCCCCGCCTTGGTGAAAGCTACAGGCGATTGGTCAGCATGTGTAACTGCGTGTCCAGACTATCCACACAGAGCAGTAGGGGCGGGGAAAAGGGAGGATCAGACTCAGACACACAGCAGAGCACATGCGGGCGGAGGGAGACGAGAGGGAATGAGGAGGAAAAAGGCGAGCGAGAGAGAGAGAGAGAGGAGAGTGCGACGAAGACGGTGAGAAAATGACCGCCAGCAGTCGGGAAGTTGAGATTTCTGTAAGTGTTCAGTTATTAAATCCATAGAAATGATAAATATTTGATATATTGCATTTTTTTACATTATAAAATCATTTTACACATAGTTTTGCATTATTTTGGTTATAAATGTACTCTACGCAACAGAAAATCTGAGGAGCCACTTGGGAGCCAAAAGAGCCGGCTCTCTAAAAAGAGCCGGTATTCCCATCACTAGTGTGTGAAGCGACTGACACGGCGGACAGAACGGAAGTGCAGTGGCTGGCCACACCCTCCCTATGCATCTACCAATCAGCAGCTGCTTTGAAAGCGAGAGAGAGAGAGAGAGAGAGAGAGAGAGAGAGAGAGAGAGAGAGGAGAGCACTCTGACCCTTTTTCATCAAATCTTTTCAAATTTGGGATTTCTACATGCCATCACATTTGGGGGGGAGTTACTATTTTTAGGGGGGCATTGCCCCTCCTCGCCCATGCCTACATCCGGGCCTGATTGGCAGTGAATGAGTTAAGCTCCTGACCCGTTAGCATCCGAGCCAGTCAGGGCTGTTCAAAAGGAAACAAGCGGATAAACGGTGGTGAAAGTGCAGCTGCAGCCTGGGACTCCTCCGAGCGCTGTTGCTGTAACGTCTTTATTTGATCTTTTTCGATGTGCTCAAGGCAGAGAAGTAAACATTTGTTCTTTTAGAAAACCAAAACAGGTTCGTCATGAGATGAAAATACCTCAGAGCGTCACTTATCATACAAACACCTAACCATAGCAACACGAGTGTGATCATGAAGCGCCACACGGTAATACTCTTGAATTATTTACACACATTAAAAGCATTTAGCCCTTCTGGCTAGAGAGACGGAAACGGCGTCCGTGGAAATCCCGCCTCGTGTTTTTGTCTCTGTGGTGATTAAAAACAAGCAATCAGGTGTTTTTCACCGTAGAGGAGAGGGAGATCGTGTGTCACTCAATCAGAGGGAATCTGGCTGAGCGAGATGGCTTTAACACACACGCACACACACACACACACACACACACACACACACACTGATGATCACTAACAGTCAGCGTAAGATGCGGTGAACCCTTCAGCCGGCTTCATTGCAGCACAGATCCACTCGTTGAACACGCTGTGTCCTTTCTCTCTTCCCTGCTGCCTCAGAGGCTGAATACCTCCGCATCTGTCCCTACGGCAACTCTGCACCCAGTTTATTCTCTCAAAAGGCCAAAATCACGTGCAAAGACACACCGTCCAGTGCTCCATCAGAGAAATCCACCGCAGCTCTTAGATACTTGTCATCCTCACACACAATCACAGAACTGCAGAAACGTGAGGGTCAGGCAGAAACAGTTCTGCTACTTGAACAGTAAGCCAGGAGCCCCTTCGTCCCATTGGTCCTCGTGTTTGACAGAGTTACAAAACAGAAAGGGGAAAGTGGGCAAAAGGTGGGGAGGGGGGGGGGGATATTAATCCCATCAGTCTCGTGGAGATTGTCAAGGCCTTGGCGATAAACTCAGAGAATGTGGTGAGATGGTGAATCGAGCGTCTCTGTAAAGCTCAGAGGCTCGTCTGAGTGCCGCCGCTGTGGCAGGCAGGCGTCACCGTTTGGAGTCTGTTTGTATTTAAATGAACAGAGAGGAAATCGATGGGTGGAGGAAATGATCTGGAGCCCACATAAGAGTCCAAAAGCAGTCTGGATGGTGCCAGCTTCCTCTGAGGGGACCGTTTGTATAGTTCGACCTTAAAAATGACACCTTGGCACAAGCGTTTGGTCTTTATCTCTAGCGAGACTCCTGAAGGCGAAGGCACCGCGGATGCCTTCAGAAAGAGCGCTTCCACGACTTACAGAGGATCTTCTGGAAGGCTCTGCGGAAGTCCTGGTTGAAGATGGTGTAGATGGCCGGGTTGAGCGAGCTGTTGCAGTAGCCGATCCAGAAGAAAAACTTGAACAGCGTCTCGGGGATCTTGCACGGGTCGCGGCAGATTCCGTAAAGGCTGTAGGAGAAGAAGAACGGGAACCAGCACACGACAAACACGCCCATCACCACGGCCAGGACGAACGTGAAGCGCTTCTCTCGAGCAGCAGACACCTTCTTCCGGTTGACCGTGCTTCTGCGCTTGCGGCGGGATGAAAACAGGTCCATGGATTTAGAGCTGGAGCGAGACTTCCTGCTGGAGAATTTGGAGGCGGAGCTGCTTTTCCGGCTGGACTTCCTGTCTTTCTTGTCATCCTGGTGATGCCTGGAGGAACTTAAACACTTTTTAGGTTTCTCATCTGATGAGCTGCTGTCCTCAAAGTCGTCATCGTGGTCAGCGGCTTGATGTTTTGGCGCGTTTGTTTGGGAGGAACTTCCAGCCTGCTCCTGGCAGTGCCCGTTCTCACGCTCCTTGTCCTTCATGCTCCCAGCCTGCGTGGACTTTATGGACCCGCCTTTGCCTGGTTCTGCTTGGTCCATCCCATTCTCCAGAGGCGAATCCACATCCCTCCGCTTCTCTGACAGCGTCCTGGTCCTGGTTTTTGCCACCTGGTATATCCGAATGTAGACCAGGATCATTATAACACAGGGAGCGAAGAAGGACCCGATGCTGGAGTAGAGAATATACCAGGTCTCATCGTTCAGGATGCACTGGGGATCCATCCCGCTGCTGCTTCTGTCCATGGAGATCAGAGGAGGGAAGGAGATGACGGCTGAGATCAACCAGACGATCACGATCATGCCCTTCACTCTTTTGGGCGTTCTCTTTAAGTTGTACTCTACCGCCTGCGTCACCGACCAGTACCTGTCCAGGCTGATGGCACACAGGTGAACGATGGAAGAGGTGCAAAACAAAACATCCAGAGCCAGATAGATGTCGCACCAGATTTTACCGAAAAACCAGTAGCCCATGAGTTCATTTGCCAGAGAAAAGGGCATCACCAGAGTGGCCACCAGTATGTCTGCACTGGCCAAGGAGACCAGGAAGAGGTTCTGAGGCGGTTTGAGGGCTTTGCTGGTTAAAACAGCGATAACAACCAACACATTTCCCACTATTGTAAACAAAATCAGGAAGCTGACAAGTCCAGCCAGACCCCACGCAGCAAGCTGCGTGTACTGGCTCTGGGTGGTGGAATTGGAGGAGCCGTTCTTCTCCTCCGACCAGTCCTCCAGGCTGGAGAAATTAGAATAATCCATTTTTCTGATCAGGTGAATTTTAAAAATACCACATTTGTGGAAAAAAGCAGGAGAGCAGCATCACATGGCTTTTTTCTTCTCTGGCCCACCTGTAATCCTCCACATCCTCCGGCTCTCCTTCAGGAATAAAGTGTCCGAAAATCCCAGAGTGTTAGGTCCTCATCCTGAAACACGCGCAGCAGCCAGATCTCCATGGTTAAGACGCGGCTCGCTCCTCTCCGCTTCCTTTCCCATCCCGACTGCGTCCTCTCGTCTCCACCTCCGCCTCGCTGGGTCCTGGGAGAGCTTTGAACGACCACGTGTCTTTCCTGCTTTCTGTATTTTTTTTTTTTTTATCAGAAGAGCGAGCTGGGACCTGCTCCACCCCGTAGGAGAGAAACGGAACAGACAATATTTTATAGCAGCAAACTAGAAACTCACTTAAAAATCACCTCCTATTCCTGATGGGAAGATTGAAAAACTAAGCCTGATTTAAGAGCGTTATTCGCCTCCTCGCGCGCAGCGGGAGTGCGTGCGCAAAAGCTGCGCGGTGGAGGTCAAAATGTGTCCTAACTGCCGCCTGACGTGGAGTCCAGCACCGAGGACAGCGACAGCTCCTCTGTCCTGCTGCTCACGCTGGAGGTCAGTGTTGTTGCGGTCCGCTCCGGAGGGAAACGCGCGCGCTGAACGCACGCATGTAGAAATATCACAGCCTAAAAAACTCAGCGACGCGGTTTAAATTCCCCTTGTTAAAAATAAATAACTAAATAAATAAATAACGAGTAAACGGTCGTGAGTTCCGTTTACCTGCTGTGTTTGGTTCGTTTTTTCATGAGAATTTAATTGATTTAGAAGTTTTCTGCAAATAAAATCCAAATAAAGATTTTAACATAGAGATTAATTCGTTTTTCTTCTTGGTATCTTTGTGCGGAAAAGAGTCGAATCAGTCACACATCTCCTCTTTCATTCTTCTTTTGGATCTTTCTCAGCCTGGATGACAGGGGCGGTACTAGGGTGGGCCAGCCCCCCCCCCCCCATACAGATAAATAAGATCAATGTGTTGTTTTACAAGCCGTTATACTTCCTAACTTCCTGAAAGACATGTCTAACTAAAACAACAACATTTCTGTTGTTAAAGGCACGTTTGTAAAGTTTTCTCACAGACGCACCTCTGTAACAGAGCCCCCCCCCCCCCCACACACACACACACACACTCCCCTCCCCACCCCCATGTTAGTGGAGAACCTCACACACACACCCACACCTTCCCCATGAACGCTCCCTCTTTATCTCTTCCCGAGTCTATCAGCTTCTCTAACACACACACATGCTTGGAGGCTTTTCAGAAAGCTGCTTCTGCAGTCCTCTGCCAAGGTTGTTCAGTTTAAAGCCAAGCTCACAACAGTCCAATCGAGGCAGCGTGAAAAGTTTTTATTCCACTGCTGTTAACCCTGTCCCCTCCGGCCGTTGCCCCCCAAGGAGAATGCCTGTCTTGCCTTCAGTGTACATCCTGGTATTAAGTTCCTGGGCTAGTGCACTTATTGACCGTGTTTCCCAGCTAACTACAAGTCATTAATCATCCACCGCTCTGCTTTACTGAATTAAAGGGCAGCCACAGCTTCATGCAACACTCAGGCTCAAACTGATCCACCTGAAAGCTGTGAGAACCAGGACTCTGGAGCCCCGTCGGACCACCCCCTCATCCCCAAAATGTGATGTGTCTTTTATTTTTGCTGGAGTGATGCCATCCGTCAGTGTGGATGCGCTTTGAGCTGATTGTGAGAAGGCAGGCACTCTTTAATATGGTCATTAAACTGAGTCCCAGAGCCACAGCTCCTATATTAACACTATATAATTGGGCATCAGTGAGTAATCTCAGCAATTACAGAGCCCAGTTCTTGTTTTTCAACAAATCTCTGAGGAAATGAGGGATTTTCTTTTCTGGATGCTAAAGGAACTACTCATCACTTTTATCTCCTCAAATCAAGGCTTTCAACTTTTTCTTTCCAAATGTTCTTTTTGTGTTGCGTTCGTTTTCCCTGTTGGCTCTGAAGAACAGAGCGGTCGGTGCTTAGCAGTCCTCTGTTTGTGTTGGAGGCGATAAACGAATGACTCGTAACTTTTAAAACTCAGTAAATCCACGTATTTTACGAGCTGCAACATCTGATGCAGATTCAGATTTACATGTAGGTTAATGTTCCGGGAACGGGTCAGGTCCGGCCTAAAGGGCTTTTATAAAGCTGAGGGGGAGTGTTCATGAACTTCACAGGGAAGAAGCTGTTCCTACACGTCATTGTCTGGGATCTAAGACGGCTCAGTCCTCTCCCCGAAGGAAGAAACGTGAAGAGAGGCTATTTTTTTTAATTTAACTCATTTTTGCCGCACCTTTCTGTCAGACTCAGTCATGTTCAAGTCGATAAAACTTTTAATGCAGCGCCTCTTAAAAAAAACGAGACATTTTCGTGAAGTTCTTTGTGCCAAATCCCTCTCACATGAAGCAATATCTGCAGTTTTATCCTTGACAGTTTCAGTACCTTCCAGAATGAGCCGTTTTAGAGTTAGCCACACCCACCCTTCCACCACTCAAGCTGCTGTAAGCTGAGAAGCTCTGAGGGGCTCGGACTAGGGCTGGTGACCCTCCCGGAGCAGCTCTCTCTTGCACGTGATGAGTGATTCTATGCTAATTCTCCCATTGTGACATCACAAATGGAGCGTTTTTGAAACGGCTTGTTTTTAGGCACATGTATGGGCAGGTTTATTCATGTTTGAAGTATTTATAGAGGCAGTAGGGACACACATAGGAACACAAAAAGGTGATTTCTACATATGTCCCTTTTAAATGGGACATCGTGCTACAAGTGACCACCATTTTACTAAACTCCAGTTCCAAGATCACAAATCAAAGCTGCTCTTGGTGACAACGGCCACTTGTGGTTTTCTCAGCCTCCATAATGTGTCGTGGTTTCCTTATGGGCTCCTCTGTAACAGATCTACAGTGGCAGCTCGGGACCGCGACAAATGGCGGCGTTTCCTGGGCTGACGGCAATCTGTCCACAACCGGATGGTTCAGCGGACTAACATTCAACCCTGCAGGGTCTATAGGCTGCACTTTTCATCTGCATCGTAACCTTTCTTTGACAAATGACCTAGGAGCAAATCTAAGAAGGCTACCTCAACTTAAGGTGTGTGTGTGCATCGTTTTCCCCAAACAGATTTATTTATATTCCACGAGCCAGAACCTGAATCTATAATGACGAAAAAGAAACCTGATCTCATACGTTTCTCAGTTCGTGTCTTAGTGAGGCGTCCTGCCTTGTGTAGGACTGCATAGTGTCTTCATGTTACACCCCCACCCACCCGCCTGTTGCATGAGAGAAACTACATTTGTCTTCTGATCCATTCTAGAGCGCTACGACAGCCCAGATGGGGGAAATCCTGGTCACAGAAGACCGCCATCTTTCTGTACACGTCTCAAACATTTCCACATCATTACTCTGGCAAAAGTTTAGATTCTGGGGGTTTAAAAAGACTTTTGTAGAAGCTCAAGTACCAATTCAAGCTTTCTACTTGAGTAAAAGTAAAAAAGTACTGGTTTCAAAGCTAATTAAAGTATTGAACTTTTACACGTGACGTCACGACGCTCTTGGGACCGCCGCCTTCACCACGATAGACGGCAGAGAATCTGTTTCCACACGTTGACACTCTGATGAAAGCAAAGGCCAGTTTAGGCTTTTATGGGGCGACAGAATGAACCGTGATCTACAGCATGACGTAGATCTATGTGGCTTATTCTGACCCGCTTCTCCCCGTCGGATTTCTATCAGAAGCTAATGCAGGAAATAGGGTAGGAGACTATTTCCCGTTCAGCCTGCATGCTAACCTCAGAGTGATCAAATCAAAGATACGTTATTAATCCCAGAGGGAAATTAGAGACTGATGGTCAAAAACGTTTAACGCACGTTTCAGGGTGGGAGATGTGGCGACTCGTTACCTGTGAGTATTGTTCTGGTGCAAAAGCTTCAAATGCGTGTTAAAATCATCTTTACTGGAATATAAATGTTCATCAATAGTAGCAATGACCCTTGTGTGGTTGTCTATAGTGTTTATCCGTCAAAATGAATGAATGAATGTCCTGGCTGGACTGTGACATGGTTTGTGTCACGGCTGGTGTGTGAGGATCTCGTAAAAACATTAGAAATGCAGATGTTAACAATTATTACCCAGCTGTGATGAAATTCACTCCGTCAGGAAGACACAAATCCTCTGGATCTGCTTTTATGTTTATGTGCTTAGCAGACGCTTTTATCCAAAGCGACTTACAATTTTTTTTTTACCTATAGGGCATGTTGTGATCTGTGGGGGAAACCGGAGTACCCGGAGGAAACCCATGCATGGGGAGAACACGCAACTCCACGCAGAAAGGCCACAGCCGAGTTTCGAACCTGCGACCTTCGTGTTGCGAGGCAATAGTGCTAACCACTGCGCCACCATGCAGCCTGGGTGGTGCTTTTCTCTGTGATAACGAGGTTGTTTTTTTTTAACATGTAATAAGTATTTATTTATTTATTTATTTTGCCTTTATTTAACCAGGTTGGTCCCACTGAGATACAAGGGAGACCTGGCCAACACAGACAGAGCAGCAGCACAAGTTACAACAGTAACACATTCACATTTAAATACATTTCCACATAAACTCAATTGAAACATGAACACACTGATAGTCTGGATTCTAATGACCTAAACAGAGTCTTAAATCTACTAAAGGAAACCAAATCCTTGATTGTTAGATCTTTCTGTAGTGAATTCCACGTCGATGGAGCAGCAAAGCTGAAAGCCGTCTTTCCCAGCTCTGTGCGAACCTTAGGAACAACAAAATGCAAATGTTCTCTTGAGCGGAGGCTGAACTGATTCTGCTTTCTTGATAAAATACATGATTATAAAAAGGCAAATATCCACATACAGCTTTGTAAATAAAAACAAACCAATGCATGAGTCGACATCCCCGCAATGAAGACCAATTCACTTTTAAATATAACAAACAATGATGGGTAAGAGGCCGACAGTTTGTTATAAAGCGCAAGGCACTATGATACACACTGTCCAACATGCTCAAACAGTGCACAGGGGCATTCATGTACAAGATGTCTCCATAGTCTATTACAGACAAAAATGTTGATTCTACTGACCTCTTTTTTACCGTAAAGGAAAAGCAAGATTTATTTCTGTAACAAAATCCTAATAAAATCTCAACTTTTTTGTTAAATACTGGATATAGACCTTAAAAGATAACATCATCAATTAAGAAACCCAGATATTTAAAACTAGAAACTAGTTCAATCTGATGACCCAGACCAGTAGAAATTGACCTATTCTCTGTTTTTCTTTTAGACTGAGAGAAAAACCTAAGTTTAGTTTTATCAGCAATTAGTACAAACCACAAATGGCACAATTGTTCTTGCACTTGATCAAATGCTGATTGAAGATCCTGAAATGCCTTTGTAGAGTTTGAGGCAGAACAGTAAATAACTGTATCATCTGCATAAAGATGTAATTTAGCATTTTGAATACTTAGACCAATGTTATTTATGTAAAGGGTGAAAAGTAATGGACCAAGAACTGATCCCTGTGGGACTCCCTTATTTAGCTGAAATTCCTCAGAAACAGCACCATCTAGCTGTACAACTTGGGTCCTGTTTGATGAGTAATTTTTGAACCATCCTACAGCCTGGTTAGAAAAGCCAATTTCTACAAGTCGATCAATCAAGATTGAATAGTCAACAGTATCAAACGCTTTTGTAAAATCAATAAAAAGTGCAAGACAGCCTTGCTTATTGTCAAGAGCTTCAGTGATATCATTCAAAACTTTCATGGTTGCTGTAGTGGTACCATGTTTCTTTCTGAACCCTGACTGAGATTCA